AGTACAATTAAAAATTGAAATAAAAAAGTGGGTCTGGTAAAACTGTTGAACGTCAAATTTTATACAGAAATAGTTCATTCCCCTTTTCTGCAGAGGGCGTCGTGTCGCTTAGCTGTATATAATATCTGCCTGCATAAAATCGTCCACATCGGACCAACGTTACCAGATCCGTAAATCTGCAACACTGCATTCTAGCAGATCAGTTCAGTATTTAAGAAAATCATGAGTGCTTTTCTTATTCTACTTGTATCTGACTGCTTGCATTAAGTAAAAATATGTTATTTGAATTAATAAAGCATTTTTACAATGAATCGTTTGAGGAATGGCTAGTTTCATATTTTCTCGATGTTACATAACTCTTATTAGATCTAGAATATGAAAAATTATGTCTTTCATTGTCATTTGTCCGCCGTTCTTGTTAGAGACAATTTCCAAAATTATATACTATACAGATTATTTTGAAATTATAGATACAGTTTAGGATTATCGTGGAGACAGGGGTAAAATGCTAATTAACTAAATACATAATTCAGCCTTATGTTTAATAAAAATAATAAAGATAAGGTTTTTTAGTTTAAATATACCATATGTTCGAAAAAAAAAAGCCCGGGACCGTAGCTATCTTATTTTTTTGAATAGATCAAATTAAATCATTTTAAATGTATTGCGATCTTAATTGTAAAACTGATTTTTAACTTTCTTTTTTTTGTCTATGACATTCAACTTTTGTTTTTTAAATGACATCCTAGATATTTTTTTTAATTCTTGTGATTTTTTTTTCTGAATACATTGATGTACCATGTTTCGCATTTTGTTAAAAAGTTGTGGTAAAAATTAATTTAATTTTTTTAGCAAGGTAACTGTGACGGAAAAATGTACCAAAATTTTTGTTACATAGCAAGTTTAACACGGTTTATAACACTTATTAATGTATAGGAGTTTTAAATTTGAAAATTAAACTTCTATACGAAAACATTATTAACTCAAGACATTTTATTGCAAATATGATGTATTAAATTATTAATGTTTGAAAATATTAACGTATTATGTACACTATGATACATCAATAAATTTAGAAAAAATCTCTACATGAATCTTAAAAAAATATTCAGAGTGTCTGGTGTCATTTAAAAAACAAAAGTTCTATGTCGTAGATAAAAACAAATGAAAGTTAAAAATTATTTTTTTTAAATCAGATCGTTGTATTTATATTTAGTAGACGATATATGTCAATTTTTTGAAAAATATATAAAAATTATACAACATTTGACAATTAATTTCAGAAATTAGAAAACGACTCCGCAAAATTTTGCATAATTATGCCTTAGTGCTCATTCACAAAGGGCATAAAGCATAAGGTGTCATAAGCATTAATGCATATGAATTTATGTTTAGTGCTCTATGGTTGTATTCGTTCACAATGAGCATAAGTGCTCATTCACAATAGGCATAAAGCATAAGGATGTCCTAAGCATTATGCTCATTGTAAACGAATAGAAGCATAATAGAGCATTAAACATAAATTCTTATGCATTAATCCTTATGACATCCTTATGCTTTATGCCCATTGTGAATGAGCATTTATAGTTATAATGAACGTGGTCAGGTTAGGTCACCAAAGCGTTTAACTGAATGTAATTTGAAAAGTGCAAAATTGTATACTTCTGTAAGTGTAGTTTTTTTTTAATCCTCTCTTATTTTCAAATTCGCTATAATGATCTACGTATCCATATTTTACTTAATTTTTATTTGAAGATAGGAACTTGATTATATTCTAAATTAATTGATTCTCACTTAATATTAATTGACAGAAATCATTTTTTAACTACATCTAATTTGTACATCTATTGGTAGATTTCGACAACAATCTTTTTAGAGCAACATTTAGTTTTTATTCAATTTTTTTTTAATGAATATATTTGTCGGCAAATGTTTTATTTGTTTTATTTATTTCTGTTCGTTAGAATTTCGCATTTAGTTAATTTTTTACTTACTGAGCGTAAGTAAAGGAAGTATTGTAATCAAGTCCATCGGCCGACTCTCTACTTCTACGTTTTCTCGACCTTTTATTACCCCTACAGGACGACGAAATAGGTCTCCCATTTCCGTCTGTCCGTCTGTCTGCAGACCTGGATTTTTATTAGGCAGATAATCTCCGAAAGTACGGGGCGATTGTTGTCTAATTTTGTATTTACGAGTATATTAGGAATATCATGTAGATGGTAAAACCCTAACCAAAATTTGTCTAATCGTCCTCACCAACAATGTGATGACGTCACTTTAAAATTACACATAGTAAATGGGTTTTAAATTGTATGAAATAACATAGTCCTACACATGTAGTTTATGACTTCGTATTGAGTTTTATCCGAAAAGTGCAGAATTTTGGAAAAAAATCAAAATTATGAAACATCAAAATTTTGCGGTATAAATTTTATTCACATTTTTTGAATTTGCATAAACAGGATGACACAAAAAAATTATTGAATGCGTGATTTATTTTATTAATTTAATCAGGAACTGCAAAACCGAATGTTTTAAAATCATGGAGATGTTTAAGATTATCATAAACATAGTAAATCTTTGATCAGAATGTATTTGCTCATCCACCCTAAAAAACAATTGATGACATCACCTCAAAATTTTGCTACATAAATCCTATCTTAAATATGCAAAATATGATGACTTTATACTTGTGATTTATCACTGCATTAATATTTTTTAGATTTGGTTATACAGCTGTCTCAAAAAAATTAATGACTGAAAATTAGTATTTTCTTAAAATTCAAAAAATAACGCTTGGCAAACAGGTATCAAATTCCCGCAAGGGTGTCCAAAATGCGAGGATAGCAGTTTCTTGTTCCATAGTAACCTATCCTTTAATAATTTTTGGAATTATTTTCGCAATAATTTATCGGTTTGGCTAACCAGACGTATTTCGGAGATGAAATTTTGCATACAGTATTTATTTTTCATGTTTAATCAAGTGATGCAAATTAATTAAAGTTAATTATTTCAAAATTAAATTAAGGCATGGAAAATTTACTTTTTCAAGATAATGATTATTCTCACCGGTTCATATTAATCCTCATCTATCAAAATACCTACATTTCAAATTTCATAACAATCCGTTCAAAAATACCTGAGTTATTGTGCCCGAAAGTGTTACGTGGGACACCCGGTATACTTAGATGACAGACAATCTAGAGAAAGATGAAAGTCTTAAAATGTGTCTCAGCAAGCATAAGGATTATTTTGCAGAATTCATATGGTTCAGACAAAATATGTACTCGAACACTAAAAATGACACATGGACTTCACATGTACTAATTTCATTGTAGCGTTTGCCACGTTAAGTATTATTAAGGGATCGAGATCCTTCGAGGGGCCTGTAAATTTGCAAACGTTTTATGCATTGAGTTTTGACACTAAGATTACCGATAATTCATGAAATTATTTTTTTCTATTTAACAATATAGACAGAGACAAGCTTAAAATTGCAGAAAATTATAGAGAATTTTGTTGTGCTTCTAAAGCTGCCAGCTAGGCTTAAAAACATTTTTTGGTGATTCTGTCTCGAAATCATTCATTAATTACGGCTATTAATAAACGATTTATATATTAATGGGTTAATACAGCAATCAGATATACCCCCGCGCACTTGATGTGAAATTTTTTATTTAAATGTTATAAATATCATGAAATTTGAAACTGATTTTTAGCAGTTTCGTGTATGAAATTGCAATCACCGGAGAAGTATTGCAACCAACTCGTTTGTTAATAGGCGATTATTAATCGCCCTTATTAACAAGTATTGATTAAATAATTGCTATGGAGCATTGTAACTATTTTGAAGAGGGTCTTTTTAATACTAGTTTAGCGTTCTTAAATTTTTTAATTAATAATTTGAAATATTAAAGTTACTCTTAAAGAATATGCAATTTTAGATCTCTAAATCAATCTTAAAGTTTCTAACACATATTGTACCATTTTGTGGTAAAAATTTCGATTTTTTTAGGATGTTAATATTAAAAAATCTTAATTTGTGATTTATGTTATGTGTAAGAAAAGCTTAGATAACATATCATTTTTTTTTTACAAATCTGTAAGCCTAAGGTCAAATAAAAATTGCATTAATAAATCGCAAGTGTAAAATTATGTTATTTTATAAATTTTCTTAAAATTTTAGGTGGGAATAGGTGTCGAAATTTTGGTTGAACTAACTCGATAGACATGTACAACTAGTAAAAAGAAAATGCTACTAACGTCTATCAAACTTGCATATCTGTTAATAAAAAAATCGCCTTGGCGTTTATTTTATTAATGAGTTATCCGTTTGTCATGGCACTCATGGCGTCAAAAAGACAGGCAGATAAGATATATTTTTGGTTTTCCTTATTTTCTTTTGTGACACTTTTGCATATCCACTGGTTGTAAATCCAACTTTCAAGATACACAAGAAATTTTACAGATCAATACAATGTGAAGCGATTTTCCATAAATTTAATGTGGCAACAATGTCGGGATTGATAACGTCGGTTAACTGTGTTATTTATACTGAAATGGGACTGAGAAAGCTGTTGGACATAGTGGGTCTGGTAACGTTGGATGAATATGGTGTTAACTTTTTTTAAGGAATAATTTTACCCCTCTACTTTTTTTTAAGTTTGTTATTGCAAAAACCATTAAATTTATTATATTATACTCGGAAAAACAGCCGGGCTTGGTAACGTCTGTTTAATATGTTGGGTTTGGTAACGACGGTTGGATACGTATATATATATATACGTCAATAATAACTTTTGGCCTCGCGCCAGATTTAGGCAACAAGTAATGGGAGTATATGAAAACCACATCCTAGCCTCAAACCTGTCATATCAGTGTTCAAATTTGTATTTATGGTTGCATCATTTACAACAACCGAATGCTTGACACGTTGTAAAGTAGGTAAATATTTGGAGTTATAGTTTAAACTGTTTTCGAGTAAAAGAAAGAAAAAGTGGTATGAATCAGTTTATTCAGAAACAATTTTTTGGAATTAAAACAGCCACATAGAGGCTGAAGAAATTAAGATAATCAAAGAGAAAAGAAAACAACTTAAAACTAGGAAAGCTTACTTCGTAGTAAGTGCAATTATATTCTATGAACATTTAATACTATTATAAAACACCAAAGTAGATTATTCATATTTCTTATGAAGTTAGAGATTGCAATTATTAACAAAGTTGACAACGTATGGATAAAGTTAAATATATATCTTTTAGTCAAAAGAGGTGTCTGCATAATTTGTTACAGTGTGTTTGCAGGTATATTTGTACAATGCAGCAGCTGCTGCATTCACTATCCAAATGTAATGTATAAATAATGATTTGTCTGGTGTATGGTGCGGTCTTAAAATTAGGTATTTTTACTATATTTCAATTGGATAAATATTTTTACACATATTTGTAAATTCTCGTGCTTTGCCAGTTTTAGACGTTGGAATTTTAATTATTAGCGTATCGTTTTTGTCTTGAATGCCGTCATTATTTTTCAATTTATCCATTCCACATGCTCCTACAACTTCTAATAAAAAATAAACCTAAAACATAATGATTTATAGACAATGTGATTGACCTTGTTTGAGATCACCTTTAACATCGTGTACATTTAATCACGGGCTTCTGTTAAAAATTTTGGTAAGTCTTCTCTTGTAAATATATTTGATTTCTTAGCAATGTAACCTATATTTTTTGCTTGAAAACTTGGTGTACTTAGATATATCTATGCTGTTTTTTATTAACAGAGTTGACTTTAACTACGACTATGCAGCCCAAAGTGTTAAAGATTTCACAGAATTTGCTTTTTCAGCGAAATACTCGTATGCAATGAGGTGTTCTCCATATATTTTGCATGGTTGTTTCTGCGCCAAAAAAAAAAAATTCATACCGCTTTTCATAAACTGTGGCTGAGTTTTTAGGTAATAAATTTGATATATTATCTGCCAGTTTTTGCAAGTTCGGTCGAATGCATGTAAACTGCTTGTTATTATTGCTATCCATCTCTATTTTGCAATTGCTGCAGATCTTTCTGCAAGCAAAAATATTAAAAGTGCCGAAAAATAAGAGGTATGCTTCATACTTTCATTTAAAATGGGCATGTAAGCTAATAATCTGTTCTGTAATAATAATAAAAGCTTATTATAGGTTATGTAGATACAAGAAAATTGTTCAAATTCTTCCTTTCCGCATACTCCTACAACTTCGAATAAAAAATATACCTAAAACATTATGTTTTATAGACAATGTGATTGACCTTCTTTGAGATTACCTTTGACATTAGGTACATTAATCACGGGCCTCTGTTAAAAATTTTCGTAAGTTTTCTCTTGTAAATATATTTGGTTTCTGGGAAACATAACCTATATTTTTTGCTTGACAACTTGGTGTACTTAGATTATATCTACGCTGTTTTATATTAACAGAGTTGACTTTAACAACGACTATGTAGCCCAAAATGTTGATTTCACAGAATTTTCTTTTTCAGAGAAATACTCGTATGCAAAATGAGATATTCTCCATATAATGTTTTCCATGGTTGTTTCTGCACCGAACAAAAACTTATTACAGGTTATGTGGATACACATTGTTCGCTGCCATAGAATGTCGCTGCACTTCAAGAAATCCGCTGTTGCCATGCAAGGTTGCGACGTTGCGAGATTACGCGCAAATTTAGTTAATAAATTATATTTATAAAATTAATAAACCGGATGTGTTTCTAATAACTAATAAAAAGGGTTATCAAAGAGTATAGAATTACTGCTAAACCGAAAAACAATTTATAACCTTGTAAAATGTAATTGTGGAGGTAGATAATACTAATATGACAACACCGCATTTAATTTCTGTGCCGATTTTTGAACATAGAAAAAGCACATTACTGCGCGATTTCGAAAAAAGAAACATTACTATTTTTTAGCAGCTTTTAACCTCTCTTTTTATATTTCTCCAAGAAAGGCGTACATGTCAATTTTAAAATACCAGTTTAAGTTGGAGTAAGAAATTTACTTTTATGGTTGTGTGTACAGGCACTTCTACAATTAGCAGTACAAGTTTTTGTTAATCTCTTAAATTATTTTTCTACTTATGGAGCCAATCTGGATATTTGCTTAAGGGTGTGCTTTAAATTTTAGGAATTAATATCTTGGAACGTCATGCATCGTTTCCATACATTTTTGAGCTTGTTTTATTTTCTAATCACTTGGAATTTCATTTCCAAAAACAAAAATTGTACTTGAAATGATAGATATGAAGCTCATTATTCCGAAACATGTAATTATAAGATCAAATGTTACTATGCATGAAATGTATTATTTGATATAAAGTAACTTTTGATATCGCATTCTATAGATTTTTTTCATGGGTACTTTACAGTTAATAGTATCACCATGAAATTGTTTCTTAGATTTGTTTTTCTTTCTTCCGGTATTTGAATCACAATTTGATAATCTTAAAACAACGACAATTAATTTAACTTTAGCTTGAGTTGTGAACCTGAAAGTTGTTTTGTATGAATTTGTGTGACAAAAGTGTACTAAAGATGAAAATAATTACTTATACTCTTTTATAATCATTAATTACATTTGTAGCAATTTTTGGCCTCTCGTATTTTATATTATTTTATCCAAGAAACAAGCGAAATTTGAAAAACCAGTTTAATATTTTAATGGAGCAGTAATTATGAACCCAAATGTTGCTATGGATAAAAACTATTATTTGATTTAAATTAACTTTTGGAATCACAGTCTTTGGATTTTTTTCGTAGATACTCCACAGTAAACAACATAATTATAAATCTGTCCCTTTGATTTATTAATTTCTCAATCCGCCGATATTTGAAAGACGATTTGGTATTCTTAAAACAAGGGTTACTAATTTAATGTCCCCTTGGACTGTGAGCCTGAAAGTTGTTTTGTATGAATCCATATGGGGTCAAAGTGTACTAAAGATGAAAAGAATGACTTCGTTTATAGCAACTTTTGGCCTCTCGTGTTTAATATTTCTCCAAGAATGTTTTTAATTTTGTAAGATATTGGGCCAATAAAACATACACAGACAACATTATTTGCAATTCTTCCAACCACCTATGGATTCATAAAATATCAACTTTTGCATCTTTAATTGAAATATTGTTCAATTCTAATCTAAACCATGAAAACTATAATAAAGAACTTCAGTCCATAAAACAAATTGCAATAAATAATGACTTTAAAGTAAAATTAATCCACAATCTAATTGACAAAATAAGATACAAAATTAAAAAAAAAACAATGTTGCTCGTTGTTCAAAACGGACCATGATACTAAGGAAGACATAGGTAGATATTATTTTCTGGATTTTATTGAAACATTATCTTACAAAATTAAAAACATACTAAATAGAGTGAATAAAAATGTTAATATTTCATTTATAAAAATTAATTCAACCAGAAATCAGTTACTGAACAACAAAGATAAAATTACTTAACTAGATAAAGCCGGAGTCTATCAATTACAATTTGAATGTTGAGATTGTGCCTTAAATTTTACGAATCCATATCGTGAAATAATACACCTCATGAATTTCACCGGCTTGTGCTGAAATTTCGGGTTTCCAATTTTAAATTTTTTAATCTAGTACTTCGTTCCAAAAACAAAATTGTGCCCGGAATGATGGGTTAATTACCTGTTTTCACATATACGAAGCGCACGAGTCCGAAAGTTACCTAACATGCAATTATGAGGCTAAATGTTGCTATGGATGAAAACTATTATTTGACTTAAAGTAACTTTTGGCATCACAGTCTTTAGATCTTTTTTCATAGGTATTTTACACTTAACAACATCATTATGAATTTATTTCTTAGATTTATTTCTCAATCCACCAATATTTGTCTTAACCTCATAGAAAATGTTTCGTCTTATGGAAAAAATCTGAATCTTTACACTTGGGGGTGTGCCTGAATATATAGCACCGAATATTGCCTCACATGAATTTTACTGCCTCGATTTGACCAAATTTTGGGTTTCCGATTTTAGATTTAATCATGTTCCTAGTACTTTAAGATATGTTAGCACATGAGTCCGAAATTATGAGGCCAAAAGTTTCTATGGATGAAAGCCATTATTTGATTTAAAGTAACTTTTGGCATCACAATCTTTAGATTTTTTTAATAGTTACTTCACAATTAATAACACAATTATGACTTTTTCTTTTAGGTTTATTTCTCTTATCTGTTATTAAAATAACTGCTATTAAGTTAATTTTAGCTTGGGTTGTAAGTTTGAAAGTTGTTTTCTACGATTCTGTGAGGCCAAAGTCTACAAAAGAAGAAAGTAATTTTAGGTTAGATGGTTAAACATTCAGCCAATTATTTGTTTTTATTTATACTACTTAAAAAATTTAAATTATCACTTTAACTTTGAATAAAAAAATATTTTTATGAATGAGTCTACAGATACTTCTACCATTCACAGTCTAATTTTGTCTTAACTTCATACAAAATGTTTCGTATTATTGAAAAAATCTGAATCTTTACACTTGGGGGTGTGCCTGATTATATAGCACCGAATATTGATTCACATGAATTTTACTGCCTCGATTTGTCCAAATTTTGGGTCTCCGATTTTAGATTTATTCATGTACCTTGTACTTTACTGTATGTTAGCACATGAGTCCGAAAGTTATTCGTCATGTAATTATGAGGCCAAAAGTTTCTATGGATGAAAGCCATTATTTGATTTAAAGTAACTTTTGGCATCACAATCTTTAGATTTTTTTTAATAGTTACTTCACAATTAATAATACAATTATGACTTTTTCTCGTAGGTTTATTTCTCTTATTTGTTATTAAAATAACTGCTGTTAAATTAATTTCAGCTTGGGTTGTAAGTTTGAAAGTTGTTTTCTACGAGTCTGTGAGGCCAAAGTCTACAAAAGATGAAAATAATTTTAGGTTAGATAGTTCAACACTCTGCCAATTATTTATTTTTATTTATACTATTTTCGTGTGGTATAGCAAGAATAATGGTCAACAATCAAGTATTTTAGGCTCAAAAAACGGCAGATCAAATTCCTGATAATATTAACACTAATAAGTCTAAAAATTTAACCAAATATTGACTTTTTTAAAGTGTTATAGGTTTACTGACGAGGTAGCTGAGGAAGGGGATGAACCCTGAAACTGGTATCACCAAAATGGTATAAATAAAAATAAATAATTGGTTGATTGCAGAACTACCTAACCCAACTTTATACCCACGCTAATATGGAAACAAACATATCAAAATAATTGGCTCATTAATAGCAACTTTGGACCTGTCGTCCTTTATATTTGGCTAAGTAGCAAGTATTTAAAAAATGTAAATTATCACTTTAACTTTGAATAAAAAATATTTTTATGAATGCGTCTACAGATACTTCTACCATTCACAGTCTAATTTTGTTTTAACTTCATACAAAATGTTTCGTATTATGGAAAAAATCTGAATCTTTACACTTGGGGGTGTGCCTGAATATATAGCACTGAATATTGATTCACATGAATTTTACTGCCTCGATTTGACCAAATTTTGGGTTTCCGATTTTAGATTTATTTATGTACCTTGTACTTTAATGTATGTTAGCACATGAGTCCGAAAGTTATTCGTCATGTAATTATGAGGCCAAAAGTTTCTATGGATGAAAGCCATTATTTGATTTAAAGTAACTTTTGGCATCACAATCTTTAGATTTTTTTAATAGTTACTTCATAATTAATAACACAATTATGACTTTTTCTTGTAGGTTTATTTCTCTTATTTGTTATTAAAATAACTGCGATTAAGTTAATTTTAGCTTGGGTTGTAAGTTTGAAAGTTGTTCTCTACGATTCTGTGAGGCCAAAGTCTACAAAAGATGAAAATAATTTTAGGTTAGATAGTTCAACACTCTGCCAATTATTTATTTTTATTTATACTATTTTCGTGTGGTATAGCAAGAATAATGGTCAACAATCAAGTATTTTAGGCTCAAAAAACGGCAGATCAAATTCCTGATAATATTAACACTAATAAGTCTAAAAATTTAACCAAATATTGACTTTTTTAAAGTGTTATAGGTTTACTGACGAGGTGGCTGAGGAAGGGGATGAACCCTGAAACTGGTATCACCAAAATAGTATAAATAAAAATAAATAATTGGTTGATTGCAGAACTACCTAACCCAACTTTATACCCACGCAAATATGGAAACAAACATATCAAAATAATTGGCTCATTAATAGCAACTTTGGACCTGTCGTCCTTTATATTTGGCTAAGTAGCAAGTATTTAAAAAATGTAAATTATCACTTTAACTTTGAATAAAAAATATTTTTATGAATGCGTCTACAGATACTTCTACCATTCACAGTCTAATTTTGTTTTAACTTCATACAAAATGTTTCGTATTATGGAAAAAATCTGAATCTTTACACTTGGGGGTGTGCCTGAATATATAGCACCGAATATTGATTCACATGAATTTTACTGCCTCGATTTGACCAAATTTTGGGTTTCCGATTTTAGATTTATTTATGTACCTTGTACTTTAATGTATGTTAGCACATGAGTCCGAAAGTTATTCGTCATGTAATTATGAGGCCAAAAGTTTCTATGGATGAAAGCCATTATTTGATTTAAAGTAACTTTTGGCATCACAATCTTTATATTTTTTTAATAGTTACTTCATAATTAATAACACAATTTTGACTTTTTCTTGTAGGTTTATTTCTCTTATTTGTTATTAAAATAACTGCGATTAAGTTAATTTTAGCTTGGGTTGTAAGTTTGAAAGTTGTTCTCTACGATTCTGTGAGGCCAAAGTCTACAAAAGATGAAAATAATTTTAGGTTAGATAGTTCAACATTCAGCCAATTATTTATTTTTATTTATACTATTTTCGTGTGGTATAGCAAGAATAATGGTCAAAAATCAAGTATTTTAGGATCAGAAAACGGCACATCAATTTCCAGATAATATTAACACTAATAAGTCTAAAAATCTAACCAAATATTGACATTTTTAATGTGTTATAAGTCTACTGACGAGGTGGCTGAGGAAGGGGATGAACCCTGAAACTGGTATCACCAAAATAGTATAAATAAAAATAAATAATTGGTTGATTGCAGAACTACCTAACCCAACTTTATACCCACGCTAATATGGAAACAAACATATCAAAATAATTGGCTCATTAATAGCAACTTTGGACCTGTCGTCCTTTATATTTGGCTAAGTAGCAAGTATTTAAAAAATGTAAATTATCACTTTAACTTTGAATAAAAAATATTTTTATGAATGCGTCTACAGATACTTCTACCATTCACAG